ATTTTAGCTAATATCCAAAATATATAGGGAACTCACACAACTCACCGACAGGAAAACAAATGGCCTGATATAAACACAAGCAAAGGACCTGAATAGACACTTCTCAAAAGAATACATGCGGTAGGTCCTCAAATAACATCCTTTCGTTGTAACATTGATGAGGAAAAGAAAGTCATTCCTGGGCCACTGTCTGTGGAGTTTGCGTGTTCTGCCCATGTCTGTGTGCATTGTGGGTTTTCACCAGGTACACTGGAGTTCAAAGATCAGAAAAAATCAAAACACCATGCTAAGTGAAAAGAGCCAGACACAAAAGGTTAATTAGCATGTCTAAATGGTCCCAGTGTGCGTGAGTGTAGGTGCAGATGTGGGTGGGAATGTACCCTGTGATGGGAAGGGTCCTGTTCATCATGGGTTCCCCCTTTGTGACCTGGGCTGCCAGGATAGGCTCCAGCAACCCACCACCCAGAACTGAAATAATTCGGTAAATAATTACCTTACTTGTTTATGTTAATCTTTCTTAAATGGATTATAGCCCACAATTATTTTAGTGTTTAATATTAGAAGTATTTTTGATCTTTATTTAGAAGTTTGGTGATGTTTTTGTGACCAGAAATATGCTGTTGGAACTTCACTCTTGTTTTTATCAATTAGCCTATGGTAAAATTTGTTTTGATACATGTTATCTCACTTAAAGTTATAGTTTCTAGGACGCTATGAGGACTTACTGTGACCAAAAGATATATTTAAAAAAGGATCAACCACATGTATCATCAGGGAAATGCAAATTAAAACCACAGTGAGCTATCACTTCACCCTTGTTAGTATGGCTGTTATAGATAAAAGGTTGGCAAGGATGTAGAGAAAAGGGAATTCTTGTTCACTGTTGGTGGTGATGTAGATTGGTTCAGCCATTTTGGAAAACAGTATGGAGGTTCCTCAAAAAACTAAAAATAGAATTACATATGATCCAGCAATCTCACTTTTGGGTATGTATCCAAATGAAATCAGTGTATCAAAGAAATATCTGCATTTTTATGCCTATTGCAGCCTATTCAAAATAGCCAGGACATGAATTGAACCTAAGTGTTCATCAGCAGATGAATGGATAAATAAATTATGGTATATATGCACAATGGAATACTATTCAGCCTTAAAAAAAAGGAAGTTCTGTTCTGTCATTTTCAACAACATGGACGAACCTGGAGGACATTATGCTAAGTATAATATGCTAAGTACGGCCGGGCACGGTGGCCTATAACCCCAGCACTTTGGGAGGCCGAGGCAGGTGGATCATTTGAGGTCAGGAGTTCAAGAGTAGCCTTGCCAACATGGTGAAACTTTGTCTCTACTAAAAATACAAAAATTAGCCAGGCGGTAGTGGTGTGCACCTGTAATCCCAGCTACTCGGGAGGCTGAGGCAGGAGAATTGCTTGCACCCAGGAGGCAGAGGTTGTGGTGAGCCGAGATCGTCCCGCTGCACTCCAGTCTGGGCAACAGAGTGAGACCTTGTCTTAAAAAAAAAAAAATCAGGTACAGAAAGACAAATACTGCATGATCTCACTTACGTGTGGAATCTAAAGAAGTTGAATTCATAAGGGTAATGAGGGGAGGAAGGGGGGTGGTCACACTGTGTGAAGGGAGATGGTTACACTACTGAGAGGAGGTAGTCACACTGAGAGGGGAGGTATTCACACTATGAGAGAAAAAGTGATCACATTGTGTGAGGGGAGGTGGTCACACTGAGAGAAAAAGTGGTCACGCTGCATGAGGGTAGGTGGTCACACTGAGGGGAGGTGGTCACGCTGAGAGAAAAAGTAATCACACTGTGAAAGGGGAGGTGGTCACACTGTGTCAGGGAGGTGGTCACACTGTGAGAGGGGAGATGGTCACACTGAGGGGAGGTGGTAATGCTGTGAAAGAAAAAGTAATCACATTGTGAGGGGAGATGGTCACACTGAGAGGGGAGGTGGTCACACTGAGGGGAGGGAGTCATACTGTGAGAGGGGAGGGAGTCACACTGTGAGAGGGGAGGTGGTCACACTGTGTGAGGGGAGGTGGTCACACTGTGAGAGGGGAGGTGGTCACATTGTGAGAGGGGAGATGGTCACACTAAGGGAAGGTAGTCACACTGTGAGGGGAGGTGGTCACACTGTGATGGGAGGTGGTCACACTGTGAGAGGGGAGGTAGTCACACTGTGAGAGGGGAGGTGGTCACACTGTAAGAGGGGAGGTGGTAACACTGTGAGAGGGGAGGCAGCCACACTGTGAGGGGAGGTGATCACACTGAGGGGAGGTGATCACACTGAGGGGAGGTAGTGACACTGTGAGCAGAGGTGGTCACACTGAGAGGGGAGGTGGTCACACTGAGAAGAGGTGGTCACACTGAGGGGAGGTGTCATATTGTGAGTGAGGAGGTGGTCACACTGAGGGGAGGTGGTCACACTGAGAAGAGGTCACACTGAGGGGACGTGGTTATACTGTGAGGAGGTGGTCACACTGAGGGGAGGTGGTCACACTGTGAGAGGAGGTGGTCACACTGAGAGGAGGTGGTCATACTGTGAGGGGAGGTGGTCACACTGAGAGGAGGTGGTCACACTGAGGGGAGGTGGTCACAATGAGGGGAGGTGGTCATACTGTGAGTGAGGAGGTGGTCACACTGAGGGGAAGTGGTCATACTGGGAGGGGAGGTGGTCACACTGTGAGGGGTGGTAGTCACACTGAGAGGAGGTGGTCACATTGAGGGGAAGTGGTCACACTGAGGGGAGGTGGTCATACTGTGAGTGAGGAGGCAGTCACACTGAGGGGAGGTGGTTATACTGTGAGGGAAGGTGGTCACACTGTGAGGGGTGGTTGTCACACTGAGGGGAGGTGGTCACACTGAGGGGAGGTGGTCATACTGTGAGGGGAGGTAGTCACACTGAGAGGGGTGGTGGTCACACTGAGAGGAGGTGGTCACATTGAGGGGAAGTAGTCACACTGAGGGGACGTGGTCACACTGTGAGGGGTGGTAGTCATACTGAGGGGAGGTGGTCACACTGAGGGGAAGTGGTCACACTGAGGGGAGGTGGTCATACTGTGAGGGGAGGTGGTCACACAGTGAAAGAAGATGATCACAGTATGACAGGTCATCCTTCAAGAGGCAAGTGCCCAAAAATCTGTTTATAATCTAGAGGAATATTTGCTTGAAATAAACTTTAAAAGTGATTTTACACTATTTAACCCAGTGTCAGAACAGCAGCATACAATATGAGCTCGAAATCTTGTATAATTTTAATAAGGTAATTGTTTTTGGTTGGTTTGATACAGTTCTCCAGAAAAATTAAGGAAGAAAGAGCCAACCTCATACACATTGCAGAATATATCCACGAGGCCTTACTGGTGGCACCCAAAGTTTTCAGCACCTCCAGTATTTAGTTGTGAGAATCAGTTGCTTTTTCCCTATCACTACCTTTATCCCTCTGGTTTACCTCTGAATTCCTGCAAGCCCCATTGACTGCTCTTTCCAATGCATGCATAATCTCCAACACCTCGTTGTATCTTGCTTAGCCAAGTGGCAATGACTCTATGCCTCCATATAGCTTGAGTCTGTTTTCCTATCTATAAGCTCTTATCACTAGTAAGTTAATAATCCAACAAAACCCTGCAAGTAATTGCCTTTTCTGTTCAAAATAGAAGGAATTATTGGAAGTTGAAATAAATGTACCATTGGAGTCCACAGACTCTTGATCTACGGTGATGTTCAAGAATCACGGTGTTTGGAAAGCACCCAGCTCAACCCTGGGGGATGTGCTTTCTAGAAGTACCCTACTCTGGAGGGCAGATATGCGGCGGTGAAGCAAATATAGCAGATGTTATCTGTGGAGTCCAGGTGGGGGCGTGCAGGTGCCCACTGGACAATTCTTCAACTTGTCTCTGAAAACGTTTATAATGAAATGTTCGGAAAATCTCTACTACACTGTACCTGTGTACAGCATATGATTCTCAACTTTGAACAACTTTATTCTTTCTAAGCCCTATCTTTTCAAATGTATCAATAAAATTTGACTTGACCGTGAATTTATTCTAAGGTTTTAAAATCCCATTTCTTGGGAATTATAACCAAGAAAACCATCTAGGACCTTTCAAGTAAAAAGGTTTAATCACTCCTTTTTTTATTATTATTATTTTTAAAACGGGCAGGGCACGGTGGCTCACGCCTGTAATCCCAGCACTTTGGGAGGCCTCGGCGGGCAGATCACCTGAGGTGGGGAGTTCCAGAGCAGCCTGACCAACAAGGAGAGACCCTGTCTCTATTAAATACACAAAATTAGCCAGGTGTGGTGGGCCACGCCTCTGGTCCCAGCTACTCGGGAGGCTGAGGCAGGAGAATCGCTTGAACCCGGGAGGCGGAGGTTGCAGTGAGCCCAGATCGCGCCATTGCACTCCAGCCTGGGCAACAACAGCGAAATTCCTTCTCAAAAAACAAACAGAAACAACAACAACAACAAAACAAGTATGATGATTTTTATCTGAAAATGAAGGGCTTGAAATTACTAACCTGGATGACTCTTAAGGACATTATGCTAAGTGATATAAGCCAGTCACAAAAAAAAAACACTACACAGTTCCACTCATATGAGGTGCCTGTGTAGTCACGTTCACAGAGACAGAGGCGGTTTCCAGGGCCTGGAGGATGGGAGGGTAGGGAGCTGCTGTTTAATGGAGACAGTATTTCAGTTGAGGAAGATGAAAAAGTCCTGGAGATGGACAGGGGTGAGGGTTACACAGCAATGTGAATGTACTTCATGCCACTGAAGTGTACACCTAAAAATTATTAAAATAAGACATTTGATGTTATTGTATACTTTGCCACAATTAAAAATGAATTTTCAAAAGCTAGGAAAAAAGTGACCAGCCTTGCACAGCTGACTACTATCGTCTTCATTTTCACGAAACTGCCCTGTTACAACTGTGCAGGGTCCAATTAATTTCTGTATCTGGCCTCTTACTGTGTTTTACAGGAGGAAGACCTTCCTTCCATAGAGCAGTTAGCCCATCAGATAGAAAATGAGGAAATAAACCCGATTGAGAAGCCCAGGCAATACCTCAAAAGAGTCTTCGAGGAATCCATCTACAAAACCCTGGTGGAGAGAAGAATTCTGGACTACCTACACTATAATCGCTACCACTTGCGCATGTATGCGTGGCCAGGCATCATTTAGTTGTAGGCAGGGTCTCCCCTTGATGGTTTTCATTTATTTCGTTCCTGGAAACTTGCTCTGTAGAAATAGAAAAGTTCTCTGCAGCCTGGTATGACAGTGAAGCCAGCCCCTGGTGGTTTTGTTCATTCCTTTCCTTCCCCGACTTATGCCTGTAGTTTTCTATCATCCCAGTAGGTGGCACATGGCCGTGTGCCTCTCTTCTGGGGCAGGCTCGCTTTACAAATCCCAGGCATGTTTCTCTGCAGAATAATCCATTTCGGCAATAAAATGAGATCATACTGTGTAAAACTTGTTTTACCTTGGGTGTGATTCTGTTTGATTTCCTGGAAACTTCTGCTGCCAGTCTTGTTAGTTCTTCACATGTTTACCCAGCAATACTTATGGGTGATAAAAAAGAAAATGTGCCCAGAATGGAAAATCAGTAAACAGAGGATGAGAAATTAAATCTATATAGTCCAACATCAGAAGCAGTGATTGTGTAGGAAAGCTTACATGACCTTTGGAAAGGAGGAGGCTGTATTTCTGTTTCAAATTGCAGATGAGGAGCCTAAAGTCACAAAAAAGTTGTATGCTCAAGGGGTTCACACATAGGTTTTAGATTAGAACGTGGTAAGGTGGTAATGGGAAGTTCATCTAAGTTCACTTTCTTTTATCCTTAGCACTGATGCTTTGCACTGGGGGGAGGGTGAGGGGGTCCCTAGTACATGTCAGCTATAATGTGGATCAGAAACCCTTTTTCTTATAGATAAAGCAAATTAATTGCCCACTAGAAACTGCATGGATTCAGGAACGAGGGGCAACAGCACATAAGATGGTTCTCATTTATTGGGTCTGTCTTAGTAGATAGTGTGACACACTTTTTCACAGCAGGGCTTAACATTGGTTTTTGTGAACAATTCCACTTTTTTGTTCATGTGTTATATTTCAGGTAAATGTTGAGCAAAAATTGGCACAAGATAAGGGATACACAACTATTAGAAGGAAAGTCAGAGCTGGCATTACAGTATTGTATACACATTATCAAACTCTCTGCTGCAAAGTGCCAACTTGTTGGAACTGCAAAGTTATTTGATATTGATATTTCTGCAAAATAAAATTGTTCCAGAATACTGAACTCTTGATTTTCCCAAGGCAGGCAAAAGCAAGCAATAAATTCTCCTAATTCCTTCACATGTGCGTTTTCCACAAATGCATGGGTCACTGTGGGGAGGGTCCAGCATTGGCCATATGGTACACACTGTGTCACTTGAATAGGGAACAATTGCCACTGGTCCACTCTTCAGAATTCAGACCCAGCACACATGAAACCATATTTCAGGGACTGGTGAATGAGTCGGCTCAAGCAACTCTCCTCCCCTGTCCCTTTCCCCTGAAAGGACCTGGGTCAAACTCATAAGTAAAAGGAGTAAGTTTCTGTGACAGGTCCTGGAACCCTTGGATGGGACAACCTCAGAGGATCAACAGTTATGACTTCTGTGACCAAGTATTAGCATTAAAAAGCCTCTAGTCACATAAAAGTGACCCCAAATGACAATGTCAACCTTAATACAAAATCATGCATAAATGTGACAAGTTTTCCTTTGCCGCCTTTTGAAAAAGGAGTGTTGGAGCTCCATAAGTATCACAGCAGACTTAAAAATATCTAGAATATATTTTAGTCTACAACGTGTATTGGGTGACATTATTTTAATCCTTATCTCACACTTAGAAAGTGGGTAATTTACAGGACATTTAGCATATATGCTAAATAATTTCCTGAATCTAAGAATCTTAGCATATCTGTTCAGACTTGAAAACTTTGTCACTGAACAAGTTTCCTAAGAATAAAAGAGGAATTCAAGAGTTGTTGATTATAACTTGCAATTGACTATTCTAAGGGCTTTGGGAAAATAACGGTGAAGATAAAGCCTGGCAAAAGGAAGGGCTTGAAAGAGACCAATATTTGGACTTGGCTTGCACAAGGCATGAATTCTGTAAGTGGAATGAATGCTTGGCATCTCTACATATTTCAGCACTTGCTGCTGAGCTGGGGACATCTTGGCTTCTAAGCTTGATCTTGAAATTCTACAGTTTTAAGCAAAGAATATTAATAAAAAAATACCAAAGTTAATTTTCCAAAGTTTTATTCTCCCAAATCACATGCAACAACCCTGCCTTCTGATGCCTCTAATTGCTCTCCCGACAGATGTCGGTTTTTAATAAAGAGTGTAACCACCGCCTTTCCAAAAAATGGCTTCTTATGGTTTTATTACACTCAAACATCACAGGAGGGCAAGAGAAAAATCAACGACGAAGTGAAGGAGGGAAGGAAATATGGCATGGAGCATAAAATGTAAAGCCAGCCAATCAATATTTACCCTTTCAAGAGGGAGAGAGAGAGAGGAGGGAGAGAGAGAGAGAGAGGGTGCGCACCCGAGTGATCCAGTGTTAGCCAAGAAGCAGGGAGCAGGGCTCGAAAGTCGCCGAGTGCGAGGAGCTGTTGATTGTTTTCTGGTTGAAAGAAGAAGTGATGATAAGGCTGGGATAAAGTGAGCGCCGGCAGGGGCGCAGAGCCCGGCAGCTGTATGCTAATGCTCACAGAAACCAAGCCTCCGCGTCCCCCATTAAAGCAGGCGACCAGGAGGCCACACATCACTGAACAAATAGGCTCTCTCTAGACAAATAAAATAACACACATTGGCCTGTGAGGAGTGGGGGGAGAATAAGAGCAGGGAGAAGAGTGGGGGGAGAGTGAAGGAGGGGGGAGAGAGAGAAGCAAAGAGAGTAGGGGAGAGGAATGGGAGACTGGGAGAGAGGTGGGGGAAGAGAGGGAGAGAGGACAGAAACAAGCAAGGGAAGACACAGGAGAGAGGGACGAGAGGAGAGAGAGGAGCAGAAAGACAGCAAAAAGGGCTGGGGGAACTGGATGGGGAGGGAGGGACAGTGGGAAGAAGGGGCTGGGAGAGAGGAAGGGGGCCAGTCATGGGGAGGGAGCCCACAGGTGGGGAGGGACTAGGAGTGAAAGGGATGGGGAGAGAGAGGAGGGAGAGGAGAGACCGTGGGGAGCAAGAAAGGAAGGGAAAGAAAAGAAGGGAAGAGACAGAAGGGGAGAGAATGATAGGAGGAGAGAGAGGAGGCGGATGACACAAGGAGGGAACCGGAGGGCTAGGGAGGAGAGCAGGGACGGGAGAAGAGGGAAAGGCGGAAGGGAGAGGAACGGCGATGGTGGGGGAGGAGCACCCCCTAACCCCATAGCAAAAACGCACACCAAGGTAGAAAGTATGCTCTTGTGGCCCCCAGGAGCCTGGATGCCTCTTCGTCCTCCTACGGCAGGCGAGGCGGGGTGCAGGTGTGAGTGGGGTGGGAGGAAGGGGAAAGGATCTGGGTCGCCGCGGCCTTTCTGGTCAGTTTCGCTGGGTTTTGTCAGTTCCGTTTGAGACCGAGGCGCACGGACCATCTGCTGCCAGCACCTCACAGGTGGAGGTCACCTCTTACACCCCAAGTTCAATGTCGTCCCGATGAGTCCAGTGCCGTCCTGACTCTCCCTGACCTAATTCCCTGGTTATGACTTTCTCACCTTCCAGGCTTCTCCTATGCCAGCTTTCGCCGACACCGCCCTTCCCGCCGCCCGCCCGGGCCTTCCTGCCCGCTCTCCTCCCTCCCTGGCCCGACGGTCCCACCGAGGCAAAAACAAACAGCCCCGAGGGCACTTCAAGGAGCGTGCAGTGGTCCCGACGGTACTCTCGGGGGGATAAAAGAGGCGGCCAGTCACGCCGTCGGTCCCCGGCCGAATAATGGGCGCGCAGCAGATTGCCAGGGGGCACTTGAAACTCGAGGGGAGGGAAATACTTGAGCGCGGTCCCTCCCCGCGAGGGCGCACGGCGCAGCCTCGCGGATCGTCCCTTGTTCGCTCTCTTTCATGCACTCTCCTTTTGTGTGGAATTATTTAAACGGGAGATCCCTGGCAGCTTTATGCTAATGCGCGGAACAAAGGCAACGGCCCGCGGGCGGGAGGCCCGGAAGGTGCCTGGGGCCGGGCCGGGCGGGGTGGCGGGCAGGCGGGCTGCGCGTGTCTCTCGCGTGCCCCTGGGACTGACACAACAACCCCTCATTCCTGCAAATACAAAGCCTCTCACCGGCTCGGGTCGGGCGCGCCAGGCGCAGGGAGGCGCTGGTCCCTCCGGGCGGCGGGCACTGCAGCGGCAACGTACGGTTCCTGCCCGGTTGTGGCTCCGGGGACTGAGGGCCAGGAGTGGGGGCTTCTGTGAAGCCAGAAGAGAAGTCTGCAGCAGAGTGGGGATGGGGGGCGCTGACAACTCCCCCCTCAACGCCGACGTCTCCAAACGCGCTACCCGCTGTGGGGTGAGATGCGGGCCCGCCCGGCTCCTCCCGTAAGGCCAGGGCGGCCTGTTCTAGACACTCCAAGGAGCCAACTCCTCCGTAGAAGTTCCCCGCTTCTGCTCTTATTTCCAAGCTTCGCGCTTTCTACAAACTCCCGGTTGCCTTGACTTTTATTTCCAGCTGTGGTGAGGGTCACAGTGAACCCCGGCGCGCGCCCCGACGGCACCCCCGCACACCAGGATAGGAGACATTGCAGCGCCTGTGGCCTCGGGCTCCGCAGTGGTCAGAGGAAGAACCCACCGCGGGGTCCGCAAGGGCAATAAATGCAGAGGCCCGGGATTTTTCCAAAGCGCTGGCCAGGACCCCGAAGGAAGGGGAGGAGTCGCCTAAAGCCCGGGAAGGACACTTAGGTGATCTGCCTTAGATCCTATGCTCACTGACTTTGGCGAAGTCCCCCTGGAGTGGGGCAAATCCACGCTCTTTCCCCCAACTTAACTTCACGCGGCCCCTTCTCCGACTCGCGTGCGCTAAGGCCGGCGTCGGGGGCGCAGTGTGGTGGCGCTTTGCTCTTCTCAAGCGAAGACAAATATCTCGACTCGATGTTCCCATCCATGAGGGCACACAGGTTCTGAGAAAATCACGCAGGAGGCGGCTGCGATCCACGACCCAGGCTGGGCTACACCTGCTTGGAGGTCGCTGGTGTGTGCTTGCGCGCACGGGCAGCCCAATTCCTTCCCAGCCCCAGGTGGTGAAATTAGTTTTCAATACTAGTACCTTTCAAGTTTCCATTTATTTTGACTGACCCGTCTGAAGCAGATTTCATTTAGGCTGGCAAGACTAGAAGCCACAAATAAAGAAAAAGAAACGGATTCATTGAATCTCAGTATCTCAGTAGCGTTCAATAGATAACCCTTGGCTAAATTCAGAGCCCTGTTTGAATTCACTCAGGCAAGAGTTGTTTTATTTTTTTGTTGGTAGCGGTACCGGTTCCCCATCCCCACGGCTTATTTACAATTATAGGTGTTGTTATTTTTAAAGGATTCACAAGGTGACTAACTCTCTGTTATCTGTTGAATAGAAGGAGTGTTACATATGCAAGACCGAATGTAGCAGGCCGAGCCCCCGCCCTGTACTATTCTCCAATCCAGATGGGATTCGTGATTAGAAAATAAAATTGGCCAAAGCTGTCTCGGAATCCTTTTCCCACTTCTAATTTCATCAGCACTATTAATCAGCGCTCAAAAGAGCAAGGAAGTAACATCAGTTACTTTAAGATAGAAATCTGTTTATACATTTTAGATAAACTCATTTTAAGATTTCTAACTTTTGGGGAGACTAGCAGTCACCACAGCATTTTTAAAACTAGGGTGAGACTTGTCAAAATATATTTCACTATATGCATTCTTCCCTTTTCAGTGTCTGGGTTAAAATATTACAAACATAAAATTATCAATTATCTTTCCCTTGATTAAGCAACTTGATTAACCCCTTAATTAACAAAGTCTAACAACTGTCCCCAGCACAACTTATGACTCATGTGGACTCTATTTTTACATGTTTAATTTCTACGCCAGGGTATTTTCAGAGGGAAAATCCAAAACAATTAAATACCTTCAGTGGAATTAAGCATAAGTAAAACTCAGCAAAATCTGTCTGGTATATAGAGCTTTGCAGAAAAATGTTTCTTTCTCTTTCAATAAAGTGACATTTTCCTCAGAGTGTGTGACATTTTATATGGCTTGGCTATTTGCTCCCCAGTGTTGGACGATCAGGGTCACTACGCACTCGTGGGGTTCTCTGCCCTGTCCCCCGGAGATTCTGCCTTTTGTGTTTCCTGGGGGCTGGGCTGGACAGAGGATGGAGGCAGGCGGCCCAGTCTGCGTCCAAACGGAACGGCAGCGGAGGTGGGGGTGGGGGTGGGGGGAGTCTTCGCTGTTGTCTTTTCCTGGTGGCACAGGGGAGGTGGCTTGTCCTCTCCGAGGCCTCAGCCTGCCTCAGAGGACAGATTGCCCCCCCCCCTCCCCCCGTCCAGCACGCGTCTCTTTTGCGTCCAGATTGGCCGCGACCGGAGCTCAATAGCGGGAGGTTAATTTCCTTCACAAAGGTGAAGGGGGCACGGCTCCGTGGGGGCTGCGCCCAGACAGGCGGCCCCTTTATTCCGCAGCGCCTTGATTGGAGCCCTTGATTTAGCATCTGATGTCAACTGGCAAACAAAATGCCCGCTCGGAATGAAAATGCATGAGGCCGCGCGGGGAGGAAGAAACCAACTTCATTGGGGCGCACGAGGCCGACCGCGCGTTTCGGGCTTCGGCCAACTCCACCCGGATTAACCCAGCCCCGGACCACGCGGAGGCTCCGGGCGGCCTGGGCCGGGCCCCGCCAAAGCTGCCATTCCTGAGCCTCCAAGAACCCAAAAGTTCAGAAATTCACGTTCCTTTGGGAAACCAGCCCAGCCCGCCCCGCGCTCCAATCCCGCGCTTTCTAGAGACTGAGAAGGCCGCGTCAATTCCTTCTCAAACTCAAAAAGAAACCTTCCCAGCCCGTGGGCGCGCGGAGGCAGTGAACACAAACATCGCCCTCGGCCACTGCGACAAGGCTGGGTCCCCTGTCGACACTCGGAACGCCAGGGAACCCTTTTGCTTGGCCTCTTGGGTCCAGCGGCCCATCCGTCCGAGGTCCTGGCGGAGGCTCTTGGCCGTCGGGACCCCGCTGCTCTCTCGGATTCTTGTTTATTTCCCAAACACCACGCGGAGCCACTGCGCCTCCGCGGACGCCCTGATAGCTGACGCCCCGCTCTCCCACGCACCGCCCCGGCGCGCCCCCGCCCCCACCCAATCAGCGCGCACAACTTCCCCCTAGGCTCCGGCTCGCGGATTGAACCCTCCTGACATATTTGGGGCCGTTCTTCTCCTTTGTTGCTATTTTGCTCGCGACCCGCGGGTAATCCCCGCGCGGGAGGGGGGCGTGCATTGTCGCGCTGATAGACGGGCCCATTTGGCGGCTCCGCGCCCCCCGTAGGAGAGACACAAAGCCCAGGCACGTGCGCCTCCCCATAGAGAAGCAGCAGACCGTGAAGGGAGGCGGGGCCGGGCGTGTGCCTGGGCCGGGCGGGGCGGCGGCGCCGGGCGGGGCGACCAAGGGGCGCGCGCGGGGGCCCCGCGCCCTCAGGTACATCTGCCGCACCTACCGGGCGACCCCCGAGTCCCGGCCCCCTTTTGGCCGCCCCATCGCCCTCCCACCCTGCCAGGCCGAGGAGCTGCGGGCGCGCTGATTGGCTCCGGGGGAAGCGGGAGGCGAGAACAATGGCCCCCTCCCCCCGTTAAAAGGGAGCGGCTGCCGGGCCCGGGGACAGGGACGCGCGTGCAGGGCGCAGAGCTGGGCCGAGTCGCCGCCGGCGTCACACGAGTCCCGCAGCCGCCGCGCCCGGGCAATGGGTCGGGGGCACTGAGGGCCGCCGGGACCGAGCGCAGAGGGCAGACCAAGCCACTGCCGTGCCCTCGGGCCGCGCCAACATGCCCCGCGGCTTCCTGGTGAAGCGCAGTAAGAAGTCCACGCCCGTGTCCTACCGGGTCCGCGGCGGCGAGGACGGCGACCGCGTGCTGCTGCTCTCGCCTCCTACCGGGTCCGCGGCGGCGAGGACGGCGACCGCGCGCTGCTGTTTCTCGCCTGGCTGCGGGGACGCCTGCGCCGAGCCCTCGGCGCCGAGCCCGGGGCTCCCGGGCCGGGCTGCCGCCGCCGCCGCCCGCGGAGCGCGCCCATGCAGCGCTCGCCGCCGCGCTCGCCTGCGCGCCTGGGCCGCCGCCACCCCCGCCGGGCCCGCGGCCGGCACACTTCGGCAACCCCGAGGCCGCGCACCCCGCGCCGCTCTACAGCCCCACGCGGCCCGTGAGCCGCGAGCACGAGAAGCACAAGTACTTCGAACGCAGCTTCAACCTGGGCTCGCCGGTCTCGGCCGAGTCCTTCCCCACGCCCGCCGCGCTGCTCGGAGGGGGCGGCGGCGGCGGCGCGAGCGGAGCGGGCGGCGGCGGCGGCACCTGCGGCGGCGACGCGCTGCTCTTCGCGCCAGCCGAGCTCAAGATGGGCACCGCGTTCTCGGCTGGCACCGAGGCGGCCCGCGGCCCAGGCCCCGGTCCCCCACTGCCCCCCGCCGCCGCCCTGCGGCCCCCGGGAAAGCGGCCCCCGCCCCCCGGCGCCGCCGCCGCCGAGCCGCCCGCCAAGGCAGTCAAGGCCCCGGGCGCCAAGAAGCCCAAGGCCATCCGCAAGCTGCACTTCGAGGACGAGGTGACCACGTCGCCCGTGCTGGGGCTCAAGATCAAGGAGGGCCCGGTGGAGGCGCCGCGGGGCCGTGCGGGGGGCGCGGCGCGGCCGCTGGGCGAGTTCATCTGCCAGCTGTGCAAGGAGGAGTACGCCGACCCGTTCGCGCTGGCGCAGCACAAGTGCTCGCGCATCGTGCGTGTGGAGTACCGCTGCCCCGAGTGCGCCAAGGTCTTCAGCTGCCCGGCCAACCTGGCCTCGCACCGCCGCTGGCACAAACCGCGGCCCGCGCCCTCCGCTGCCGCCCGCGCGCCGGAGCCGGAAGCCGCAGCCAGGGCTGAGGCGCGGGAGGCACCCGGCGGCGGCAGCGACCGGGATACGCCGAGCCCCGGCGGCGTATCCGAGTCGGGCTCCGAGGACGGGCTCTACGAGTGCCATCACTGCGCCAAGAAGTTCCGCCGCCAGGCCTACCTACGCAAGCACCTGCTGGCGCACCACCAGGCGCTGCAGGCCAAGGGCGCGCCGCCAGCGCCCCCGGCCGAGGACCTACTGGCCTTGTACCCCGGGCCCGACGAGAAGGCGCCCCAGGAGGCGGTCGGCGACGGCGAGGCAGCCGGCGTGCTGGGCCTGAGTGCATCTGCCGAGTGCCACCTGTGCCCAGTGTGCGGGGAGTCGTTCCCCAGCAAGGGCGCCCAGGAGCGCCACCTGCGCCTGCTGCACGCCGCCCAGGTGTTCCCCTGCAAGTACTGCCCGGCCACCTTCTACAGCTCGCCCGGCCTTACGCGGCACATCAACAAGTGCCACCCATCCGAAAACAGACAGGTGATCCTCCTGCAGGTGCCCGTGCGCCCGGCCTGCTAGAGCGCGCCCTCCACCCCGGCCCCCCGAACTGTGCCTTCGCTTGGAGACCCACAAAGAGAGTGCGCCCTGCACGCCCCGAACCCCAGTCCGCGCTGTGGGAGCCTCGCCCCCGCCCCCACCGAGTGAAAGTGTCGTCTCCGCTTCTCTCGGTGAGGCGTGACGGTAACCCCATCCTCTCGTTTTGACTCCTTTTGGAACCCCCACTTTTATGTTGTGTCCCCCCACCTCCCCCATGGCGCAACAGGAGTCAGTCTCTGTACAAGGGAGAAAAGCTGTACGCGTTTGTCTAGTGGTTGGAAGCCTCCCCTTGGCGGGGAGAAGCTGTTTTTCTTGCTAGTATTCGCTGTGTTCATGGTCTAGAAAGGCGGTCTACTCTCGCCTCGCCTACCAATCTCTGCTCTCTATGTATGTAGCGTACGGGTTGTTTTGGGTGAATCTTGAGGAATAAATGCCTTTATATTTCACAGGCTGTAAAATGAACTTCCCACACGATTAGCTTTATTATGGCTTGTGAACTGCTGGAGTCTGGCTTTACCTTTTTGTATGTGAACAAATCAAATTGCTTAAAAAAGAGTTTTCTTTAGTATAGCCACAAATGCCTTGAACCGTTGTCTGGGATTGTTTTGGGGGGGGGAGGGAGGGAGTGTTCCGAAGATGCTGTAGTAACTGCCTCAGTGTTTCACGTAAGACTTTTTGGTTTGATCATCTTTGTTGAGGTAGGACTATCAGTTCCCTCGAAATGTATATGTTGATTTATGAGTAATTGTTATTTATTCTTTATTTATTTATATTAATTATGAAGATTATGATATTATTTGATTGCAGATTTTTTTGGTGCGCTGCCCCCTCCCCACCCTGCCACTCTTGACATTCCACTGTGCGTTTTAGAAGAGAGCCTTTTTCTAAAGGGATCTGCTTAAAGTTTTAACTTTTATACCTTTCTGAGTGAATGACAGACAACCTACCATTTATTCTGCTTCGAGGGCCCCCCAGGGCCCTTACAACTGACAGCTCTTACTTTTAAATGCAATCTCTTTTCTACATACATTATTTTCTTAATTGTTAGCTATTTATAGAAAGCTTCAATAGAATTGTTTCAACTGTATAACTATTTACTATTCAAATAAAATATTTTCAAAGTCACAGTGTGGTGGCCTGATTTCTGCATCACATGTTTTCAGGATGGATTTAACATAGAGCTTCTGATCGTCTCTTAAAAGCTAACTTTATTTTTTTTTATCAGGAAAGAGGGAACCACCACCATCACCAGGGTGGTGGGTTTTCAGAGCTGAACCTCAGCTGCGGGACTCTGCCCTTGTGGCAGCCTGAGGGTATAGCCTTGGTAGCGGCTGGCTGAAACAAGCCTCGTTGGGGTCCTTAATAATGTGCCAGGAGGTGGTTTAGAATGAAGGCCCTGGGCATCTTTTCAGAGAAATCTAGATCAGTGTCCCTAGGAAGCTGTTCTTTTCACTCCACTTTCATTGAGCAAGTCCTTCATTTCCTGAAAATTTGGGGGTCAGGGTGATAGTAATTCCTCAGATAAATAAAGCCGGGAATTTTTGTTCCTGAGTCAACTACAAGAAAGGAGAAATGACTTTACCGTTAGATTTGCAAAGCACGGGCAGCAACCCGATTCACATTTGGATGCCATGGGAAGTTAAGCAACTGGGGGCAAGGGTTTAGAAATAATTTTCCAATCAGGTGAGTGGTCTGTTTGGGGGGAAAATGGAACACCATCTGTTTGGGGTATTAAATTTAATAACAGGTAATTACAATGTTTTCCGTTATGTGTCACTCAGCAATTTGAAGAACAATTCTGACTCTCAACAGCGAGTATTTTGGGTTGTTTTCCTCTGTCTTGGAAACAGTTGATGAAGGAGCTGTGCTAAATCTCACAATTGTGCATGTGTGCGTTCCCTTCCTTTTGTGTGTTTTTGCTTTTTTTTTTTTTTTTCCCTGAGGCCCGCTAAATCTAACATTTGCCTGCCAAAGAGATTTTAGAAAATGCACAGTAAAAGAATTTGCATCTCCAAAGAGGAGCTGGAGTGAGGCTGGGAAGGGCAGTCCATGAGGAACTTGGAAGGACAAACTGAGGAAAGAGATGATTTTCAGATTGGCAGCCTCAAGTTTTCTGTGGGACGGGGTTTAGCCAAAGGCTCAGCCAGCAGGACTGTGGAATATTCCTCCCTTTGTGAGGCTCTGGAAACAGCCTTTGAATAACAATGAAAGAGAAACCTCTACAGGTAAGTTGCCTCCAGGACAAATTGCATGTAGCTTTTTATCACTGATGACTACGTATTTTACCAGTTTGGAAAATAACAAAAAGCTCAGGGCTGGTACAATAGGAAAGCACAGGGACAGAGCAGCATTTATAACATCCTGAAAACTTTGACTGAAACAAAGAAAAACTCAAATGTGTGGGCCGATAGCTGCTGCTTCTCCCCTCCTGCAACAGTAATACGGGAGCATGGGAGCATTGAAAATATTCTCTCTGAGTTACACCAAACGTTAAAAGATACCCCAAACTGAGGGTCAGAGTATGCGCGTTCTCTGGCAATAAAAAGTTTCCTTAAAAACTGGAAGATTAGCTGCATATGGCAAGTCCAGACTCGTCTGCAGGCATGGTAGTTTGTTGGGCTCACTGTGGTTCTCGTCCGTAATCACAAAACATGAATTCATCTAAGATCCACCCTTATGAGGGTAAATATAATTTGGTTGTTCACAAACATGTCCCTTCATCCCCCGTGGAAATTTATTTCAATGGACCAAATATACCTTTTCTAAAATGGAACCCAAAGTATCTATGTGAGATAGTAAATGAAACTATAGTAAATGGAGTTGAAGGCAATGAAACTGTAGAAATAGACAAACTTGGTCAATTTCTATCATAGTAACACAATATAAGTTAACAGAATATGGGAGGGAATCAGGCTCTCTCCCCTTTTTCTTGCCTTCCTGAATAATATGTTCACAAGGTTCCTATTCAAGAACATCACGTTGAAACTCACACACTTTTTAACAAATCTGTGAAGGAGGCTGT